AAAGTAGGCATTACATTTTATGCAACTACATTTTTTTTTTACACCAGAACTAAACCTCAATTCATACTGCCAAGAGGCAGTCTTGTAATCAGGATTTTGGTACTTCAATCTATGCTGTGAAATAACTTGGCAAAAAACAAAGGAGATGATTTTCTGCCACATTTGAATGCTAGGGAGCTAACACCTTAATTTCAGACACCAGCAAGTAATATTTGCAAAGCAAGCACACAGCCCTAACATTAGTATAAAACACACATCTCATGCGACACAGTCAGTTGTGCTCACAGGGCTGAAACAAGACAGTCTGCATGTTTCATGACAAGAGGATGTATTTCTTCTCACTCCCATATGTCCAGTCTGGAGCAGTCTCGTGCTAAACTGCTGTGAAAGGTTATGCAGGTCAACTGACGGATGGGTGGGCTGTCAAGAAGAATCTGAACTTTATCCATCATTTGTGCATGTGTGTTTATATGTGCATATGTTGAGCGCCCGCACCTGTGTCTGCATGTGTATTTACTTCTCAACCTAGCTGAGGCGCCTGTCTCAACACAGACGTGTTGAATCAGTGTGAGCTGGGCTACTTTGCCAGCTCCAAAGGAGCCCCCTGACACATGAGCTCTTAGGGCAGCCTGGGCACACAGACAGCAGCAATGCCATCCCATAACAGCTCTGCTAAACCCTGGACCAGTCAAAAGGAAGTCTAATGTCATGAGAGCAGAACAAGTCTGGCCATTAGTCCTCCCTGGAATAGCTTAAGGCAACTTCCATTTCCAAAGCCAAATTTTAGTCCTTTCAAGTCAACAGATTTGAGCCAGTTCTTTTTCTCAAGTTTTAATTTTTTCCTCAGCCAAGTCCAGGCCATTTTGCTCAGTTAGTGACTCTCTGGAGGATTGAAATTCAGTCAGTCCTATAATTAGTCAGTGGTGTAAAGACACTTCAGATTGAATCCAAAAGGCCTGTTGACATCAGGTCATTCAGGACGGTTTAAGATGTTGACACACCTCATCTTTTACACATTAGAAAGGTAAAAATCTACATTATAGTTACACCAGCTTGGCCACATTCCTCTTTAATGAATGAACCACTTGAGAGTGGTTTTCTGGGGAGATGTTTCAGTGTGATAGCTTGACTGGAATCATAACAGGTTAAGAGACTTCAAGGCTACGCCACCTTGAAACCACTTTTCATTTACAGGACATGTGCCAGAGATATGATGAATGACTGGCATACAAATGATGAGCCTTGAATGATGCAGTTCGATACATCATAGAAATAAATAGAAAAAAAACATGCCATACACATGCCAGGACAAAGGACAGGAATGGTAACCAAAGAAAAGACAACTTTAAAAATAAAGATAAGCCTAGACATTTTCTAAAGACTCAAAAAGTTATTTTTATGTTGTGGTACTGATCCTCCTCTGTATCCCCTTTCTAAAATGTGATCCTTCTAGAAATCTAAGCATATTCTAGTGTTGTATTGTTCAAAAATGGAAAACAATAAAAGCTAAAGGCCTGAGATTTAAATGAAAAATGCCTTGATGAAAGAAGCAACTGTCTTCTTGAAGTAGAAATGTTCACCACTAGCAGGGAGGGGTGTCATGGAAACAATGTTAAACGTCTGCTAGAACAAGCACCTGTTGCTAACAATACACTGGTGGAACTTCATAGCAGTTGACTGTGGTCAATGAATCTGAAATAACCGCATTCCACACATGATCACCATTCCCAGATGAACACTCAAGCCTTCCTGTGGGACACACAATGAGTCAAAGTCATTTGACAAAGCACTACAAGAGGAATGTTTCAAACTATGACATCATTACCGGTTTTGACTAATTATGTAATAAAACTGTAATAACACATTAACCATACTGACATTTTAGAAACATGATCTGCTAGAGTGTCTAGAGTGAAGTCTTTACCAGTGTTCAGTATGACTGAACAAATTGTTCTTACTGCTGTTGTTGAAATGAACCCTGGAAAAATGACAGACAACAGCTGACGTGGCAACCAATGAAAATATTTATTCAGCATCAACATCATACGCAAGAAAAACACGTTGACAACAACACACAGCTGAAGGTGACCATGAGGACAGGAAATACAAATTTACATTTGAAAGGACCGCAGAGCCTATTCATCCACATGCAGCTCACATTTTGAACACCAGGTTGCATCAGGGTCAAAGGGTGATGGGCAACATACAATACGTGCTGCCCTAAATAAACACAACATGACTTGGTCACCACCCCTAAAACAGGTGCGAGCACTCCACTCCGCAAACCTGGACAGACCTCTCCCCTTAGAGAGGACAGAACTGAGGTTTCTTCACAGCCTCTTAACAATGGTTGAATTTATTTGTAGTAACACATCATATCTGAAAGCTGTTCAAATAAGCTGCCTTGTTATTGTACGGTAGGCTTGAATAACTGGTACCAGTAGATACTCCAGTGATTGCATCACTACAATGTCAGGATTGCAGCAAGACAAGTATTTCTGCTTACTTTAAACAGTGAGTAATGTGCATGTGATCTATGGAGTCAATTTGCTCCAAGACCTCAGAGAGCTGGCAACGGGAAGGCTGCTGCCAAAGCCCAGGTGCAAATTTGTCACTGTGTGTTTTGGCCTTAAAAAAAATAAAAAAAAAATAAAAAAAAATAAGCCAAACACCTGACAACCAATCACACACTCACAGATGCAGAGAGAGTAAGTCCTCTTTTCATTTCTGGGGCAGAAAGATTCTGCACGTTGTGTCCTGGGATTGGCTTATTAGCAGAAAATAAGAGAATTCATTCATGAGCAGAATACTGAGAAGGCAGTCTGTCAAAACAGATACAATCACTGGTCACTGTGAGCTCAATAGCACCCTCTGCAAAGGCAAAACATCATGAATAAGAGCTGTGAGCCAAGCAGACTATTAGAAAGACGTCCTCCTGTTGTCCTTGATTTTTTATAAAGATCAGTCCCTTGAGCACATGCAGCAACTCCGGATGCGTTAGCTGCCTTAACAGGGATAAGATTGGACCCGATCAATAACCTGTTAGGGAAGCTAAGGAGCATTGCAAGCTAAATTGGGTGCTGGGATCGTGACACCCATGAATTCTAATGAGGACACTCAAGGAACCTCATCTCCACAGAACATTCTGTCTCACCATGGATGGAGGAAGGAGTACACAAGATGCAGAAAATGGCTGCCTCCCATGTGCAGTGGTGGCAGAAGTACTCAATTTTCATAATTAAGTAAAAGTACGGATACAGTCTTATGTAGATGTATACACTCGCACAGACTTCACTTGGTTAAAAACTTGGTAGCCTATGATGTTACAAGTCACGGTGGATATTTTACAAGCACAGACCAGGTAAAGCAGTATTGAACCCCCAGGGTACAGATGTTGGTTTCGGTTGTTTGATGGGCTGCATTAACAAGCCCACAAGCGGCTCACCTGCTGCCATGATAACGGATCGAGGGTGGAGAAATATGGAACAAAAGACGAGTTCTGTGTCTTGTAGGCAACTTTATGAAACG